AAAAAAAAAAAAAAAAAAAATCCTTCTTTTATAGAAATTCGAACGTAATATATCCTTAATTTCCGTATTCATCAATAAAATTAATCTAATATATATAGAAAAATATTAGATATCAAACTATTCAATCTAAGAATAAAATGAAATTCTCTTATTATCGATCAGATTCTGCCTAAGAATCTAACGCATTCAAATTTCTTTCATCTAAATAGGTCTTGATAATAAAGAAATCATATCTTATCTAAATCATATATAATTATAGAGTAATCTAGATATCAATTTCAAAACGATCATTATTAAAAATATCTTATAATAATTTTAGACCTCATTTCATATAATTTATTTCAAAAATTATTTAATTTTTCTATTTTTCGATATTTTCTCATATTTTTTGAATAAATATTTTAATCTTAATTTTCAGCAATAAATATCAAAAATATAAAGATTAAAATTCTTCTCAAGATTATTAGAGCCGCCAAATTAATATTTTCTTCTTATAGATTGAAAGAATTTAATTTCAAAATATTCTATTTTCTATTAATCTAATTAAAATATAATGTCATTAGAGAAATTCCAACTACGTATTATATCGCACGGAGAAAGAGAGAAAAAAATATATCCTTCCTCCCGAAATACCTCCTTATATCTCATCATCATCAAACCAATTAATTAAGATCCGATATGATTTCAAAAGAGATCAATATTCAAAATATGAGAGGATACGTATTGAAATATTTCTCATTCTCCAATTCTTTCTTAATCTTTCTTATATTGTCTGCCTTGTTTGGATCCGAATGCAATATTTTCTTCTCAATATTATCAAGTCTTCGCCGCGGACATATGAATTAGACTAATTATTTTTCATTTTTAAAATCGCATCTATAAAATCATAAAACGAAAGAAATATTAGGAATATTCAATTATTCCGAATAAAGAATAAAGAGAGTATCTATATCTAAAAAGAGTGTCCGATTTATAATCGAAATGAAAATATCTATTGATATCCAATCTCGGGGTGGCTAAATTCATGGGTTCATTACCGGCTCCTTCATCCCCGACAACCCTTTTTCTGCCCAGCGTGGAGCGTTGAAGGTAAGCCTATACACGAACTTCCAACGAGGTTGAATTCCCTAACCCTAGATCCTAGACCATAAATCTTACTAAACCTTACATACATATGTATAGGTGTGTGTCTATGTTCTGTTGCAATGATGACCCTAAATCCTGATATTGACCCTGCACCCTGAGCCTGTCAAGCAATTCTAATTCCTAATTCTTAAGCACTGGCGGCTTTGGGCTGCCGTTGTGCTTCTGACGCTGGCTAGCCATGTTGGAGAACTGGCCCCTGGCAGGGTCTCGGGTTTACGACGGCCAGTAAACGAAGGCATACAAACAGAGATATGCAGGGACAAAAGGGGGGGAATCAGGCTTCAAGGTTTGGGAAGTTTAGGTTTAGTTTTTAGGTTTTGGTTTGGGTAGACTTCAGCACGCGCAGTGGTGTACAGTCGGTGTCTCACCGTCTGAAGGAGTGGTTTAAAGATTTAGCACAAGCTTGCGTACCATAACCTTAATGCAATGGCTCTATTTGTTTTGGGGCTGCGCAGGCATCAACGCGCCTAGAAGAACGGATAAAGTAAGAATAAGTTCTTTGAGGGCCTCACCTACCGTGAAATTTCTTGTGCCTGGGTCCCCCAGTAAGACATGTCTCAGATGCTGAACCGAAATCGTCCGTCTCCCATCCAAAGCATCCACCATAGCCTAAGCCGCCTCAAGCGCAGGCGAGCGCACGCCAACAATTTTGAAAGCAAGCCGGCAGCACATCAAAGCGTTGAGCCTCTCCTGCCCATTTTGTTTTGGCAGGTAGGACAAATTCGACACTTCTATAACGTAAGGCATCAGCTCATGTTGGGATTAAAATCTGCAATTGTCAGGTCTTTCTTGAAGTAATGTTCGAAGTGCGCCGCTGTTGGACGTCCGTGTATGGAGTGCGGGGAAGGTTTGGGCTCATTGTTGCATGGCTTCCGGCAATTCCCCCAACCCTCCAAGGAATGGAGTAATTTTCCACAGACGAACGCTGAAAAAAGGTGACCAGCCTCAAGAATGGGATTTAGGGTTTACAGTTCACGGTTTAGGGTAACACTACGCCTCCCTCCCCAAATGAAGCAGTGCTGTAATTCTCCAGTGTCGTCTGACGATCTTCACTGGGCAGGGCTGGTTAGCAAAAATCCATCCACAATGGAGAGAACCCTAAACCCTAACATCCCCAAACCCTTGTGTCTTCAGTTGCCTTCAGGCCTCTGCCCCTAGATTGTGATCCGCAAAGAAACTATTGATACTAAAAATCCTGCATGACCTTAGTCTACTAGAGTTCCTATAGTACCATACTTCCCAATGTTTAGGGTTCAGGTTTTAGGGTTTAGGGGTTTAGGGTACTTAGGGTCATGCAGGATTTTTACCATCGAAGCACAGGAAATCACAACTTCCTCAGGCGAACTCAGACCAAATATCCTGGTAGTTACTGAAAGACACATTTGGGGATGCTTCAAGTGAGTAATTCAATTTATAACATCTTGGATTACAGGCTCTTTGCGTTGTAGGCAAAGCTGTTTCAGCTGGTGTTTGCTCTTTATGGTACAGGTGTCCCGTTTGTCAGTAGTCTCTACTTATCGCCAGAAAACCTTGATAAATCTCCTTCCGTAGGATCAGATTAGAGTGATACGAATACATGTATGGCCGATGTTCGCGAGTCTTACCAGTAGTGGTTTTGTTCTCACGTCCTCCCAGAGTCTTCTTCGGGTAATGTTGGGTAGTCGCATAGCCTGGTGCCCATCAAAACAACAAATGCCAGCCAAGACAACGTCAGCCCTGTCAGTAATGTTCACCTCATATGAATAAACCCTCGCGTAATTGCACTATCCAAATCCCAGAACGTAATTACAAACCCCCCCGTAATTGCAAAATCCAACCTGCCAAAAAGCAAAAAATCTGGATGCTTCTACTGCTGGCCAGTACTACTATTGGCTACGACGACTGGAGTTCCAGCTCACTGTCCCGGATACCCTTAATTACGGAGGCTGGGGCTCACATCCTCGGGGGGGGCGGGGGGGGGGGGGGGGGG